TTTAATTGAGAATTTGCAAACAATTACACATTATATTACATGTACATTATTATATATTTAAATAAATTTAATATTAACCACACGATGATACACTTCTTAAAGTAATGTTTATCTAAATGGGCGCAGTCGCCACTCTACAGGAAGCGCACCCCTCATTTGTCAATTTGACATCTGACATCGCTCAATCCTCTTACCTGACTGACAATGTTGTGGGCACTGTTTAGTTTTTTGTCAAATTAATTATGTCGTTATTTTTACTTATTCTATTCGATTAGCTCGTCTAGATTTTACGAAACAGACGCATCATTATCAATTTGTAAAAATATGAATGGTATCTTTTTGTATTTTTTTTTATAATTAAAAAAATTTAACTGTTTATTTGGAAAAATTACAAAAGTTATTTCACATTACTAAAGCAAAAATTTTTATGTTCTAAAATTATGCACCTAGTAAATTCCAACCACAGCGACGTCTTAACATTATTACTTATTTAAAAATCTAGTATATTTACTTACACAGCTCTTATATAATATTACTCCCTGGCCAAGTGTTGTCTGATCAATCTGGTACAGATCCTTTTATTTGTTGATTCTAAAATGTACTTTTTCTTTGGTATCCAGTTTAACACATCTGGAATTACAAATGACCATATTCTCCTACCATATACATTGTTATAATTTGGAAGTTTAAATGTACGATTGCTATGCAATATTCGTAGTCATGATAGTCTTTTTTCCTTCTCCAAAAATGGAACTTTTTCTTGGTACTCAGATGCAATTACTAAATTTACTTTATCAAAACGATTTGAAACTTTACAGTATTGGAATAGTTTATCATAATTATATATGCATTTCACTTTCAAGGGTACAATTTTAAATTAATTTTCTATTATTTGCTAATTTTATATTTGGCAAACTACATTGAAACACCCAATAAAATGTATGAAATATAGTTGCATACTTTAGGCCTGAGTAAATACAGTAGTACTAGTAGCAGTAGAGCTTCTTGTGAAAGAGTTCGTTCAGGGTAGTACTTACCACCTTACTTAATTCTGCCGCCAAGCAGTAGTGTGACCATTATCGCGTATCGATTTTGAAGGGTAATGATGTTGGTGAAATTACAGGCGCATGGGACTTGTCAACTTATGTTTCAGCGTTGCGGGCGCAGTGGCGAATTAGGGGACCATTCGTCATTTTCGTAATACGCCCTTTTTCGTCAACTGGTAAATTTTTGTACTTTGCCAATGCCATCTAAATCTTTAACTCGTCAATTTGGCCTGTTCGTCGTTTTCTCAGATGAGTAATTTTCGACAACTGGACAGTATACATTTTTGCTTAAATTATAAAATGAAACTAAAATTCATACACATATTGTATAATTGTACATGACTGTACGAATAATGACAAATGTCGAATGACATAAAATGACCAGTAGATGAAAGCGATTAGTTAAAGAAAATGACGAGTTAGGGAAAATGGCGACTTTTATATTTTCACATAATTGACGTGTTGAAGAGTTACAAAATTAACCAGTTGACGAAAACGGCGTATTAACGAAAATAGCGAGTGGTCCCCTAATTCGCAGTGGCAGTACTCCTCAGATCTTTGTGATTTAAAGCACTAAGTGGTATTGCAACTGTTGTAGACAGACGTGTCATCACCAAGACCACCAAGAGCACGACTTGCACGTCACGTCACTAGGTACCGTTCATAAAAAAATATGTCATCAGTTTTGTATGAAAAGCGAAATCGATTTATTGAAATATTTTGCTAAATGGTCATATGTTTAAACTCAATATTTTTTACATGGTCACACAAATAATATTGCCTGGGTTTGAATCATTTCTTATATTACGTACATTTTTATGTACGCGAGACCTTATAAGGATATGTACAGCATATAATTATAGCCTACTCCAGGGTTTTCATACATACATATGTACACACGCCAGCACATCAAGCTACACATTGACGTATCTTGTTCCGTTGCACTGGAGGCGATTTTCCAATAAAAATGTGTAGTCTGGTGTGTCGTTGTCCGTACATAATTTTGTTTTCTAAGTAGCCGTGTTTTTGTTTACTTTTCCTTATTAAAATAAATCATAGAAACTAAAATAGAGAAATAATTCATTTACACGACAAATACTACAAACAAGGATATAATAATATATGTGTGAATGAATCGATCTGATTCATTATTTAAAAAATACGTAACGTTTTAGGTTTGCGTATTTAACCGCACATTACCGGTCTTATAAAACGGTCATCTTTGTTTTATTATTGAAAATGTCACATTTATTGTGGTTTTATGTTACACCTTCAGTTGTGACGTATGACCACTAAATTGCGTCATGGCGTTGTCATATGCCTGGTGGGGAATTTTCTTTTGTGTTTGTTACGTTTTACCAACGTAGTTGTTGCTATCTGAGACGAAAGATATTTTTTCTTTGTTTACCGGTGAAGCGAACGAAGCTGTGGTAGCCTAATTTGACCTACCGCCTCTCAAGTAGAGGGTCGTGGGTTCGAATCTGGGCTCGCACCTCTGAGTTTCTCGGAATTTATGTGCGAAATTTATTTTTGAAATTTACCACGACCTTTCCGTTGAAGGAAAACATGGTAATGAAACCTGTACGTTGAAGAAGGTTCACAACGCTCGGGAAACGTGTGAAGTCTAAACCCTCAGCCGAAAAGAGACCCGTGTCCAGCAGTGAAACGTACAAACAGGTTGATGATGATTATCAGTAACCCAACTTTATATCATTGCATTGTAAAATCTAACTTATCAACATGCATCTTGTGTCAAAATTCGTATTTTCTTAAAAACCTGCACCGATTACCGCTTTTGGTCCTTGCTTCGTTGCTATTTATTATTAAACGGATAGACATGGTTCTTTTTTATAGTCAATATTTAACTGTATTGCAAAAACTTTTACTAAAGTCCATCCAAATCCAAAATCGTATGTTTTTTTAATAATTACGCAAGTAGAAAATTTTTCTATCGTATACAACAATTTCAAAAACACACGATATATCGACAGAAACATCGACACGTACACATCACTAAAGTGAAGTTGTTTCTTTTGCCAGTAGCAACTAGTGTCTTAATGATAAATATCCTCAAAGATTGTTCTGCCTTCTTGATAATTTTCTCTACTAACCTCACACCTTAAAGTACAAAGTCTTAACTACCTTATATTATAGGAATTAGAGGCTAAAGTTTAATGGCAGAGGCGAGGCACTTGTTTAAAAGTACCAAAGAAATTTATGAGGCAGTCCCCGAAGGTGTTTTATAGTTATTTGATAAAACACTATCGTGATTGTTTAGCTTGACCATGTGACAGCTCAGTTTATTTTCAAGGCATTCCTAATATTACATTTGTGTTATCTAGATGTGGGGTGTAATTTGTAATAATATTCGATGTTGTTTCTTTTTTTGTCTCGTGAGGGTTTTGAACTTTGACTTCTTTGCGTTATAAAAGTTCCAAAATAACTGTACAGTCATCAAACATCATTTGTTTTATTCAATTTTACTGATGGCATCTTGCAAATAACACCATTTCCACTACTACTACTTTCAATACGACCTCATGGAGTCATGTGACACCTTTTCTAAATAAGTCTGACATGCTTGCGATGGGTGGGCGCCTTAAATTGCATCTCGCTGGATTGTTGTTTGATGTTGTTTAGTCTCACGTGCCTTATTATTTGTATGAGAAACTTACTTCATCTTCCACGGTAAACTGTTGCTTTGGAGCAAGGTCGACAAGGGTGTTTCTGTATGCCGGGGGGGTATAGTACCGCTGCATTTAGAGGGAGTTCCCGATATTTAGCCACTCGTTGTTGAGACAATATTCCTCCTCCTATGCGTAATAGCGTCACAAAAAGAACTTTCAAGCAGAAGCAACATTAACATTACGGTAAATGCAATAAAGAATTGAATTGAAACTGCAAGAGTATCTTTTAAATATGCAGAAATTGGAAATATGAGTGGCTAAGGTGTTTAAGAAAAGATAAATAAATAAATTGGATGAAATTAAATTACATTTAATTGAATTAAATTGGTTTTGTTTTGGGTTTCTACGAGTGGCGTCCCTGTCCTGGCAGAATACCAGCGTCGCGGGCAGCCGCGTCATTTATGCTGAGTTAGCGCCATTTCATTGCCATGGCTTCCAAGAGAGATGTTAGTGGAACATATTACTGTGTTACGTTTAAGTTAATGTCTGTATCATGTGTCTGTGTATGTATTTGTCATGGTGGTGAATAAAGATTCTATCTATATCTATCTACTAGTTTTTTACGTTAACTGTAAGTTTTCCGAATTGTATAAATAGTAGTAGTAAAATTTTTCGTCGTTTATTATGGCTAAGGCATCTAATACTGCCAAAAAAACCATACTGCCAGATCTTAGATTGTAATGTTTCTTCAATAAATTTTTCTGACATTTTTTCGCAGAAAATCGTTATGTATTGCCGACTTCCGTGGTTGAGTGGCTTGCACACCGGTTTTCATGGTGTCGCATTCTTTGATGTCCCGGGTTCGATCCCCGGCCGGGTCAATGTAGAAAAACTAACTTTTCTGTATTGCCTCGAGTCTGGCTGTTTGTGGTACCGTCGTTGTACCCGATTTCCAAATATTTATTTAATTTGTATAGGACCATAATATAGCATAGTGTAATATTAGTACAGTATAATGTTTATTTAACAATATATTTTAATTTAATAATATATTGTTATTTAAAAATATACCGAACAAAAAGCAGAAATACGTGTTCACTGTTCAGCTATTTTGTCTGAAGTCTGACAAAAGAAAATCGTACTGATAGAATTATGTTTACGACTTTTTAAACGTTAAAATACTGTTTTACATCTCCTTCAATTTAAACATCGTTATTCTTAAAATAACTGTAAAAGTCACAAAATATTTAAACAGATTTCCAAGGTCCTGCAAACTATAAAGTCTATTATATTACATAAATTAATAAAACCTATTTCTTATTTTCAGGTAAAAAATGGAGGTCACTGACCCCGCAAGATCGTCGGCCATACGTGGAAGAAGCTGAGCGTCTTCGGGTCCTGCACATGACTGAACATCCCAACTATAAATACCGACCTCGGCGACGAAAGCAAACGAAGACTAGGCCCAACCAACCAACAACACCGTCCAGTGCCCCCCCGGCATCAGCTGCTTTAGGGTCTCCATATGCAGCCGCTACTGATTCCCCGGACAGATTCTCTCATAACCCAGGAGCTGGCTTCTCGCCCTATAGAACTTCTCCACTAGCATCTGATTCTTACCAATCAAATCAATTTAACGGCCACGTTCAAACTCCTGAGTCCTCTCCGGCTAGATCTCCTGAACCACAGGGAAGGAGAAGTGCTCCAGCTGAAGCCCCTCTTCCGACCCCAGACGCTTCTCCTGTAGAAAACGAAAAGGAAAATTTTCAGTATGAAGAACGACGAAGAGCGATCAATCCTTCGTCCCTTTCCGACTCATATTCTCCGTACAAGCCTTACCGGACCTCAGGATCGTACTCTCCAGCTCCAGTCGCTGCCATGGGCATGGCCAATGGAATGTACGTCATGTGCACACAGAGGACATTGACTGAACAACCTCCGCTAGTAACCGGGACGTTCTTTCCACCTGTAGCCACATCTCAGGATCAGCAAACTCTGGGAACCAGTACACCTAGAGTTTCATCAGCACCTAGTGGACCAATGACTTCTGAATATAGCATTCAGTATCATCCGTATGAACAATATGAGCAAATGTATAAAACTGAGGAGCCGTACGTGCCTCATTATCCAGAACAGCCTAAGACGGAGTACGATACTGGTGGAAACTACTTTTCTGAAGAACCCCCGGCAAATGCTCCACAAGAACAAGAGCAGTTCATGAACCCTCGTCCTGAAATGAGGACAGCGTCTCCGGAATCCGATGTTGACGCTCGTGAGTTTGACAAATATTTGGATTATGGCGCTGATGGCGCTCAGATCGATCATCAGCAACAGCAGTACCGATATGATCAGCAGTACCGGGGCCAATATTGTCCTGAGCAAGCTCCTCCTGGCCAGGAATACTGCGACAGGATGTACCCTTCGCCGTACACATCCGTGATTGCAGGAACTCCACCTGCAAATTACACTCCCGCGCCTCCAGGACCCGACGCGAGACCTGAGGACGAGTTTAGCGTGATCTTGGCTGGAGTGAGGCAGACCTGCTATAGCAACTGATAGATGACTGGCATAGACAATAAGATGACAGTACTGTAACTGTAATGATGCATGATGGTGCTTCAAGTTTTAAACTTGATAGTATGTGGTGCTATATAATATGTGGAATAACCTATTCAATTAAATTAATAACAACGGAGCACAATTACTTCCCAGTACGAAGTGAATAAATGGGCCCTCAGACGCGCAATAACAAATATCGTTGCATATCGTGTCGTGGTCAGCGACTCTTGTGGGGTTGCTCTATAAGCACGTTATTTACTGCAGAAGCACTATTATGATCATCAATCTACTTATAAGGACTTCTGAATAAAGCCCAAAGAAGAGAACACCCTAAACAATTTTGCGGTGTAATTAAGGGCTATCGACAACATAGGCCGAAATGCCTTGTTTTGTACCTCTACCACGTGTTGCAGTGTAAAAGACGCAAGCGATCATGACATGAATTCTTTAAATGGCAATTTATTCAACGCTCATTAATGATCACAAGTAAAACAAAAATGTCTCATATACTCCCTCGGTCGATCGCTTCGATACTGTAGACTCATGGTACAGGTAGTACTGATCTGGGATAGGCCTCGAAGTCAGGCATTAACTCTAATAAATATCATATACTATGGTTAAATACTGACAAATCAATATTGGACGTAATGTTAACGAACTCATTGCTTTCAACTGTTGATGTTGAAAAGCTGCTACTAATACTAATTTGTCAGTCTTTGCTACATATTTTATCTTTTTATTTGTGTTTATAAAGAAAAGAATATAAACTAACTTATTTTTCATCAGTATATTACGGTAGTCTACTTACAGTTAGTAAAAAATGAGCAATCTAATTAGTTTTTTTCGCTTGACAATGATTATGACTAAATTTTTACGCCACATAATATATACTATGCGAAAACGACTTGCATCGTGTAAAGACGCTCTCATTTTTGCACGCACCTTCTTTTCTTTATAAAATGCACGTAAAAATGGTGAAAATTAACCAATTAACAATTCTTGGATAAGTTTAAAAAGCATTCCTTTGCAATAATATAAAGAAGGCACATATTACATAGCGTTTATCCGGTATCATAATCTTCTTTATTGCAATTTAAGAAGTGTTTAGAGCTTAACGAACGACTGGCAAGAAAATAAGATAGCATTTGAATAGTTACGTACACGGATACAGACGATTTAGGACATAAAAAATACACACACAAATTAAGTAGCATGCAAATTGACATGCACTCTGAAACACTCAAACAAACTGCTATAAGTACGCAGTACGCGTAACACATGGTGATCTTATATTCTGCAGTGAGTCTTAAAAAATATATTAAAGGATTTAAACAATAATTAATTAATTAACAACCTTATTGGTGCTATTTAAGAACGTCCTAACTACAAATAGAAATATTTTTATATAGATTTTTTCCAAATCCGTACCACAAAGGTAACGAGTTAAACGATTCCTATGTATTTAAACGAAAGCGATTATTTATTTGTAACTATTTTTGTATATTTCGTAGTTAATATTAACATAAAAAAAAGTTAAATTTATCGAAAAATTAGCTCTTCCATGCCTGTAGATATAATTTAAGTCGTATTTTCATTTTTAACATAGGTTTCTTTTTTATTAATTTTTAGTTATTTTGTTTTTTCTTTCAAAAGATCATACGTTATTATCTGTATAAATTGTAAGATCATGTTATAATAAAATAAATGTCTCATAGTTATAAATATAAAATTTGTACTAAATTTTTTAGTGAAACATTAGTTAATATTGCAATTTTTAGTTATTGTGGTAAACAAACACTCGCACTGCGAAACTAAGTTCTTCCTAAATGTAAGAAAATTTATAAGAAATAAAATAAAATTTATATTCTAAAATGTTTTTGTATTTTACTTACCATTTGCAATTTTTAAGTCTTATTTTCAAATATAAACAAGATCTTGCTTTGCGTGTTAGGTACTACGCCAGTGATTAGTGGATGAGACTATAGAAAGTGACGTTGTTAATGTAGTCAGGGCTCTACCACTCGCTCGTGATTACGCGATAAGTGCCTACCACTGAGCGTATCGCCGGCAGTGCAAGTGCTCAGAGGGTGTTGCACACACAACTGAATAGGTAAAAAAATCGTCGCAATGTCGCAATTGCGTAATTATTGTTCAGTGTGTGGGTGTAAAATAATAATAATAATAACGTTTATTGCAAAACATGTTGTTACATAATAGTTCTTATAGTAGTTTACAGTATCAAACATGTACCTTGTAAGGGCGTAGCAATGTCAATTTTTTAAATATACATTTTGATTACCATTAATTAAAATATCATTATAATGATAATTAAATCTAAACAAATATTTTCTGAAAAGTCAATTAATTAATTGGCAAATGAGTGTCAAATTGAAGTCTAAAGTATTTCAAAAAAAAATTAATCGTCAAATTATTCTAGAATTATATAATAATAATTGACAGTAATTTAAATACTAAATTAGCATCATCGTCAACCCATTAGTTGTCCCACTACTGAGCACTGGTCTCCGCTAAGGAGAGAGTTTAGAGCCTAAACACACGGCGTACTTTATACGCGCCGACGACGTGCATTTCACGAACGCGCTTTTACGGCGCTGTAAACGCGCGTCATCTGTGCGTATAGGCGCCACAGGTGCGCTGTAGTGAATAGATTCAAACGCGTGCAAACATCGCGTTGCAAGATAGAAGCATATACACTCCACTGGAGTTTACTCTTAGAATTTCATGTGGTTGCTTAATTTCAAAAAAACTAACTGAAATATAAAACAAAACTAAAATTAAAACTAACAAAATGCGTGATATATACTAAAGCGCGTCTGCACGAGCTACACGAGCAAGTGACGCGCGTTTACGGCGCGTATACGCGCATATGTACATAACTTTCAAAAGTATATACTTTATATTTATACTATATATTATAGGGTACATGCCGCCACTTCGGGATTCGAACCGTCAACTTGTAATTGAGAGGTAACCGTTCTCCCATCGCTTTACTAAATAAATAATTGTAATTTCAAAGTTCCAGACAAGCCTTTCATTTACATTACAATTCTTGTACAACCCTAGCGCATTCGGTCCCGTACGACTGCATACGACAGGCAACGTTATTTTTACCTCTCTGAGCACGTGCTTAGGTTCCTTTTTCTTCGTACTGAGTGCCTGGCGCCATTAATCAGATTTAGTAGGCTATTAAAGCGTAGATATTTTCGATTTTGCATGAGTGATTTATCTGTTACGTAGTAACCATTAGGTAATACATGCTGTAGTGTGCAGTCCTGCATATGTCTTTAGTAAGAATGAAGCAAACTAGGAGTGCGCCTGCGTCCGTACTAGATGAACGGGCTGCCAGTGATTTGGCGCGCAGTTTCCGTCAAGTCACCGCTGCGGAATCTCATGATTAAGGGCCATGGACTGCTTCGAGACATGTTGAGCAAAAATTCTTGTTAGAATAATGTTTTTAAACAATAAATATGAAATTATTACTGACACAAAGATCGAACAAACACATAGAAAGATTCGTTCGATCCCACTGGACTAGTAGTCACGTTGAGACAACAGACCCTGGTTCGGGTCCAGCCTCTTCGATAGAATTTTTCTAATTTCTAATCTCATTTGATGGAAAGTGACGATGAGGTCGACAATGGAGCATTCTCACCTAAATAATGCCTATTTACTCTCGCCTTGGAAAGACCCAGGTTATACCGTTCAGGGAACGTTCTGCAAACAGGGAATTCCACTCCATAGCCGTTCTCCATATATATGTGGAAGCGAAGCGAATATCCACAACATAAGGGTGGGGTTGTGGATATTGTCTGGTTCCCCGATGATGGAAAGCGGAAGGCGGAATTGAGCAATTCTGTCGCACATTCTCCGTGAAAAATCCTGTAGAATGCCGATTAGTAGGCAACTTTACCGCGGTGTTTAAGGCTCTACAGCTTTACCTCTACTAACATATACAGAGACAATATATCTATTTGATTTTTCTCTCAATGTCATTTAAAACCACCACTAAAAGAAACGCCATTGTTGGGCGTCATTTGACGGCCTCTGTGGTTGAGTGGCTCGCTAACCGGTTTTTGAGGTATCGCCATTTCTGAGGTCCCGGGTTCGATCCCCGGCCGGGTCAGTGTACAACACTAACTTTTCTATATTGTCTCGTGTGGTACATCGTTGTTTCCGATTTCCATAACACAAGTGCTTTAGCTACTTACTTTGGGATAAGAGCTATGTGTGTGATGTTGTCTAATCTTTTAAATCTCGGGAGAGACGAGAATCTAAAATAGATATCAAAAATAACAATAATAATAACTGGTTAATTCCCCTCAGCCTTACTAGCAGCTTGAAGCAATTGTTTTTGTATATTATACCAAGTGAGAGGACGAAGAAGTCGTGAGCCTGATGGTAAGCAACACGCCTGTCCACTCAGAGTTTCAAGTTGTAAAGATGCCTCTGCGCCTATCACCCTGAAACATACCCTTACCCTTCGAAACCGGATTGCAGTAATGCTGACATTACTTCTTAGCAGCAGACATAGGTAAGGTGGCAGTACTTCCCTGGACGAACTCTTTCACAGAGAGCTCTAGTGCTTCTAAAATTACTTACAGTGACAGGGCAGTAGCAGAACTCCTCAGATACATGCGATTTAAACTCTAGAGTGGCACTGCACCTGCTTGCCTAAAACTTAAGATCGTTCTTATCGCTAGTGGCACAGAGTTAAAATTAAATCTTAAGCGACAAGCTTGACGTACTCTTGATTCTAATTGGGTACAAAATTAATCGTCTTTGCGTACTGCATCCGAGACCATACAAATTTAGAAAACTCGGATCCACTTCGGATGTCGCTTGTGTACTAAGTCCGATTCGAATACGAGAAAAATATACGAATATCTCTGTACACCTAGAGATAAAATGATCCCTGTGACATTTCGGACCGTCATTTCCTGGATTCGGAACTGGGGGGCCACTCTCGATCTCCGTCCGACATCCGTCCGTAACAATTACTGTCACATAAGTAATATTCGACAAAATTAAAAGACAAGTATCCAGTATGAAGCTTCATTCGCATCACGCGTCTTTTCATTTGGTCAAGTATTGCTTATTTCGCAGTAATTGTTTCGAACGGATGTCGGACGAAGATCGAGAGAAGACTTCCTGATACGAATCGGACGTAGAGCGCATTCGTTTCGGAGCAAAAATAAGGTCTACAAGGCCCGTGACCCTGAGACATAAGTTGTAAAGTCCCATATGGCAGTAATTTTACCAACACCTCACCTTTGCTTGGCAGAAATAGGTAAAGCCCTTTCACAAGTAGCTCTATTCCTACTATAATAATGTATGTGCTCGAAAACACAGTCGCCACAGGAAATTCCATTCCTGGACTGTGCGCATAAAACAGATGATGAAAAAAATTCCTCCTTCAGCCGTCTGGGCACAATAGCCTCTCCTCTTTTTAGGCCATAGTACACAGCGCAAATACGAGCACACACGCAACGAAGACATCAAGAAGAACCAATAAATTAATGATTCCTTATCAAAATCAAAGAAATACTTATCTCGCACATTTAGGAGTATTTAGATCTAAGCCCGCCCAGCAAAAAGCGAGCTAAGTGCAAATAAAATTAAAATTACTAAATAATTTTCGCAAAGGCAGGGGTGCGCATACATCGGCCCGCGGGGTACCGCGCCTGTAATTACGATGCGGCCCGCCTGTGCACGCCCCTGCCGCGGAACACAGATATTGATGTATTGACGTTACGCTGTAAAATGGGATAACTAAATAAATTTAGATTTTTCAGTTTAGCTATGGAACGTGGTCGATCACTAACTAGATAATCTGAATTAGACAAATTTGAAATTAGAAATTCGATTTTAGTTAGTTTTAGTCAGAAAACTAAAATACGTAGTGGAAACAATATTATTTTCGAATTTTTCAAAATATAGACTGGTGTCGAAATATGAGCAATATTATAACAAGCGTACAATACGCTTACATTGAAATAAGATTGTTTTTTGAAAGATTATGGCAGGTCTCAAGGTCTTCTGGCGGAAACAATTTTATTAGACGCGGTCAGTGTTACTACAGGACTTTTTGAGTGTGTTAGGAATGCATTACTTAAACGAATACATCCCGACATTTGACACAAAGATGGCTTATTTACGTGTTTTATAATTATCACAATGTTTACGGTACACTTATTTGCGATCTATGACATCCCTGGATGTACAAGGTGGTTCTACACAATTATC